AGCCATCCGTAGTCTACTAAATCTCTAGTAATAGTTTACTGCCCATAGACCCCCTTTACCCCCCTCCCGTCCCTAAAACAGTATATATTCTGCCGCTGTAAGAATAAAGTTTGAGGCTTGATCAGAATCCTGTCTTGCCTCCATTCTTTCGTGTCCCTTGCTTGCCTCATTCTCCTAGGGTGTCTCTTGGTTCCCCCGTTGTTGTCCTGCAGGTCGGGACATGGTATATAGAGTAGTCAATAAGTAATAGCTGTTATTATTGTTTAAAATGTCAAACATAATGCCTAAGATATAAAAGTGTTTAGGAGGTATTATTTTATTGTTTTTCTACTCCTACTTCATTCCCTATAACGCCAGCCTTGATCCCTCCTTCCAGAGTCAATAATTCTCTTCATAATGCTCCAACAATGCACTTCCTTTAATCTCTACCAGGCATTTATTTCTGTTTATCTCAAGTTACGTTGAACTAAAGTCCATGCTTGCTGGGCCGTTAAACAATAATCTCCTTAACCAGCAAAGGTTGGGCTTGATAGAAGGCAAGCGTTCAGCACGTGTGGAGTGAATGGATGAATGAAATCACTGTTCTTTCCAAGAGCTTCATAATCACACTCATGGCAACATACACTTCTCTCTAAAATTCACTGGCAGACTACCTGGATTCCTGTTTCACTGTACCACTTATAGCAATATGTCCTTTGCTTTAATTTATTCTCCAGAACAAAGGGAACACTAGTAAATAACCACCCTACAGAATAACAATAAGGATGAAACCTTAGCACAGGGGTCCTCAAACTACGGCCCGCGGGCCACATGCAAATACAAATATTGTATTTGTTCCCGTTTTGTTTTTTACTTCAAAATAAGATATGTGCAGTGTGCATAGGAATTTGTTCATAGTTGTTTTTTTTTAAACTATACTCCGGCCCTCCAACGGTCTGAGGGACAGTGAACTGGACCCCCGTTTAAAAAGTTTGAGGACCCCTGCCTTAGCATATTAGAGTCACTTGAAAAATGCTGGCGCTTATTACTATTGTTCATAATAACGATTTGTTAGTAGAGCACTAGCTCTTGCTATATATATACCCTAAAGGCCACTTCTACAAGACCCTTTGCTTCTCAAGGTGCAGGGACTCCATGGTCCTAACATAAAAATGCAAGGCCACTGTCTGGTGACTAAACCAGTGGGCCTGGTTCCCCCTTAGGAGGTGAGCTGCACCTGCAGCAGAGAAAATGTTGTCTTGGATATGGGGGTGACTGTCATCATTAGCTCACCCTATTGCCTTAGCGGCCAATCATAGGTGCCCCACTGCTGGAAATAGTCCAGCTAATTAGCTGTCCTAGTTTTCAAATTGCTCAACTCTTCCCTCCTCCTCAAAATGCTCAGTTTCACTGAGCAGGAACAGAGTGGGAACCTGCCTCTTCGCTTGTGTCTTATAAAATCCTAATGTAGAGCTGAGACATCTCTGCTTTGACTAGCAGGCAGCTCCATCTGCCCGAGAGCAGCCCCCATTAGCAAATGCACCGCTATCCATTAGCAAATTGCATGGCTTGGGGTTCCTAACAGACACCTATCAAGTACCCACTGTGTCCCAGGCACAGTGCTAGGCAGGAGAGGACTTAAGGGCAGATGAGACATGATTCTGCCTTTAAGAGGTCACATACTATGCAGTCAGGCAGACCACTACTGATAACAGAATTAAGATATGAATTCTGAAGCCAGGAAAGAAGTCAGAAACTGCCTAATCCAAGTGCCTCAGTTTAAACATGAGGGAAGTGAAGCTAAAGAGGGTACGTGATCACCGAAGGACCAGCAGTATTCACACGTGGGGTAGGTCTCCATTTTGTGTCTCCCAGATGAGTGACTTTCCTATTAAATAACTTGGCGGGGATCATCCCTTTCGCATCAGTCATACCTAAGCCTGAGAAGCATCTTTGGTCCAACAGTGTGTAGCAGACAGGCTGCTCCCGGCCCAGAGCTTCCAAGGCTTGTCCTCGATGGAACTTTTCAGATAAGATGTCAGAGGTGGGCTGGACCACTGGGGAAGAGCTCCATGACATCTGACAATTATAAAATGCCAGGAAGCCACCACCGCCAAAGTGCAGGACCAACCTGAGAAGAAGAAAAGATCGTAAGCACACAGAGTGCCCACAGTATTGTCAGGTCAAATGTCCATACTGCTCCCACACCCGTCAGGGTTAACCTGGGGAAGCTAAGGTCCCTGAAGAGAAAAGGGATCTTTTATGCCAGAATTATAAAAATGTCAGGGCTAAGTGGAGTAATTAAAAGAAAACAGATATATAGCTCTTTGTTTTTCTGATAATACATGTTCACTGAAGACAACTTGGGGCGAACAGAAAGGCCTAGAGTTCAGGAGCTGTGGCTACCTGCACAAAACGGCTTATTGGAAAGACAGACAGATGCGAAAGAGGCATCACTCCCAGTTTCAGGCAAGATTTACTGAGAAAGACACACCCAAACATACTTGCATGGGCTTCCTCAACTGCAAGGACAGAGGAGAAACCTTATGAACTTTGATAGGGAAATAATGGGTTACTCTGTAAGGGAAGATAATGGGGCTGGAACTGGACTCCACATTGGAAGGAGAGTGCTATTCATGCAGCTGACCTAGATGATACTCTTCTGTGAAAGTAAAAGGGTGACTTTAAAGCAGTGGTTCTCAACCTTCCTAATGCCGCGACCCTTTAATACAGTTCCTCATGTTGTGGTGACCCCCCAACCATAAAATTATTTTCATTGCTACTTTATAACTGTAATTTTGCTACTGTTAGGATTCGTAAATATCTGATATGCAGGATGTATTTTGATTGTTACAAATTGAACATAATTAAAGTATAGTGATTAATCACAAAAACAATACGTAATTATATATGTGTTTTCCAATGGTCTTAAGCGACCCCTGTGAAAGGGTCGTTCGACCCCCAAAGGGGGTCGCAACCCACAGGGTGAGAACCGCTGCTTTAAAGGAACAGGAACTCAGAAACATCTATGCATAGTATCTGATGTGATTAATTAAATCAGTAAGGATCTCAAGACGGAGAGATGAAAAGGGCAGGCATAATAAACAGCATTGGGTTTTGTAATATTTCTTGTGAAATCTAAAATGGATTCATTATGATAGTGCAACTGAAAATTATAACACAAGTGTTAGGAAAGAATGATTTGAAACAAAATATACCTATTTTAATATGTTTTTCAAATATATATATTTTTTATTGATTTCAGAGAGGAAGGGTGTGGGAAAGAGAGAGACATCAATGATGAGAATCATTGATTGGTTGCTTCTTGCACGCCCCCTAATGGGAATTGAGCCTGCAACCTGGGCATGTGCTCTGAGCAGGAATTCATAGGTCAATGCTGAGCTACTGAGCCACACTGGTCAGGCAATATGTTTTAAATATTTATTAGTTTGGGGGTTTTTTGTGAATAAAAACATTTATTTTGCACTTTATACAGAATAACCTGGAATCTTCAACATGACTGTACAAGTCACCAAGGGGTTTATAGACAATGTATCCACCTAAACAGTGTGGTTCTGGGAGTTGGGGAGCCACACAAACACAGGCAGGAGTTGTAAGGTAGGAAGGGGGCACCACAGGAGTGTATTTTGACCCTTTCTTAGAGAAAAGGCAGTAGAGCATTCTGAGTCACTGAAAACCTGTGCAGACGGGGCTTCTAAAACCAACACTATACCCTGAGCTCTTAGGGATGGGGCAGGCGGGATAAGGACCTTGATACATAAAGGGATACTTTCTTGTGGCAGGGGATGAGGAAGGAGGCTTACCATTCTTAATGCCCTCAGCCCTAGGACCTGATATTCAAAGGAGAGCATGTCAAACTTAAGTCATTTCCCTGCTCAAAAAAAGGTGCTAGTAACCCTGGGACCATCATAAGGACATGGTCATTTCCAAGTTCCTATTCCAAGGCCCACACGTACTGAAATAAAGGGGGAGAAAGTCAGAGAGTAAT